ATGCAGTACACGCTAGGGCTGGACGATATGGCCTAAATTTATATCACGATATATTTATTAATTTCGGTCGATACGATATAATTCCGATATCGATATGAACACTTATTTTAAAAAAGCCTCGTAAAAACTGCCAAGAACGCCCACAACAGATGTCTGCGCATACAAACTTATGAAAAATGAATTTGACGTTTTTGCTGTACTTTGGATCAAATAAACACAGGCTTGGTGAGCAAAAGAGAATTAAAAAAAAAAAAACTTTAAAAATCTTACTGTCCAAAAACTTTGACTGGTAGTGTAGGCTGATTATTCTTATAGATTGAAACAAATGTGCTTTAGCCAGTATAAAGGGTATGAAAAGTGCTCTGAGTTTCGGCAGAAAAAAAAATAAAGAGCTACAACAAAAACATGTAGCTGGAGACGGGCTTTTAAAAATGCAAACTGCTTGTCTGCCAGCAGGAGGCGCTGTGAGAGCGGAGGACCTAGCGTTTTCTCCAGTAACGGCTGTAATCAAATCAGATCCTCTCATAAACGCTCCTTTATCAGATAAAATGAAAATACCATGGAAGCTTTTCTGAAGACAGTCCTTTCCCTTCAGAGATACATTCATATAAAACACCCGCGCCGTGTTATGATTTTGAAACGTGCAGTGCTCATGTTTATTCAACGAAGTCAAACGCCACAAATAAATCAATGTATGGGAAACTGGTAATGTATATCGAAATATCGGAAATGTGTTTAAAAATCATATCACCGTTATTGAAAAAAATTATATCGCGATACATATTGATATTGAATTATTGTCCAGCCCTAGTACACGCACACTCAGGCTTGTTTGTTAAACAATTAGCCTATGCAATTTATGTTTGAAAACCGTCAAACTGTCCACAAACCAGCCCAAATTTTGTCCACCCGCCCAAGCCCATTTTTGCCCGCACAATCAAATTCAAAACACCCAATCTGGCAACACTGGACACATCTCTCAGTGTGCAATGGTCTTACTGACTTGAAATTACAGGTCTGTAGTAACAAACACATCAACTGTTTAAGACATCAAGTATGATAATACATTTTTTCTTTTTATAACCCAAGCTCAAATATGGAAGTGTGCTTAATGGGTACATTTACCCCATTTACAGACATGGTCTAAACCGAAAAAAATTTCTACTCGGATAAATAAAAAAGCATCAGTTCTCCTGCTCCAACAGTGATCCACGCAGAGCCACGAGTTCCTGCTGTAGTCATTGACAGCAGTCCGATTCCAGCTCGGGCCCACTCACCACCAACGCCTGAACCACTGCAAGGGTCACTCTGCATTCCATGCAGCCAAATGCTAACATGTAAATTAAATCAGTGCTTAGCATCACATGCCAGAATGTGATCCAACAGTGAAGCAATGCCTCTGCACACACATACTCCCAATCCTGTAAGCCAAGGCCGGTCACTAATGGTCTGCTTTCGCATTCATCCCCATATAACGTCTAAGCTAATGGGTCTCCGATATCCAGATGTCCCAGAGAGGGTGGAGGTGGAGCAAGATAATAGAGCACAAGAACTTCAACCCTGCCTCCGTCCGCTAGACCATTTCCTCCTAGTCTTCCACAGAGCAGACAAACTCCCAGGTCATTTATATATATCATAAAACCTACGTTACTCTCATACCATGCCAAGGAAATCTTGTCTCATTATTTTAGAAGTATACTGAGTGAGATGACGTTTGTTCGAATATAGAATATTTGTTTATGACCGTTATCTTTACTTTCCAGTATAATAAAAAAATACCCACATCCCCCAGGCTCCGAATCCTGTCTAGACAAGATAAAAGATCATCTGAGGTCTGCTGAGGTTCTTTTTTTGTGGTCTCAACTAAACCTATTATCAGAGCTCGGCAGAAAAGACTCCTCTGCGACAGTCATAATCATCTGACAGGCCGTCTGAGGTGGCGTCACATGGTCAATGACTCAATCACATGACTTCGGACACAACTACTCATATTTAGTTATTGCATCAACAGTCATATAAATTACTTAAGTTTCCTGAAAGAACTGATGATTACTGAAAATTTTAAGTATTTAAAGGGACAGTCAACCTTAAACATGACTTGAACATTTTGTTGAAGCCAATGGGGTCCAAAAAAAACACCGAACTCCACTGACTTTCATTGTATGGATATTATATGGATAAACCATAGAAGAAAGATTTGGAATGACATGAGTCAAAAATTACATTTTTGGCTAAACTATACTTTTTAGACAAAACAGCAGGCTATTCTTTACAGTTACCGTGTAATGCACTGCCTATTGAATGACTAAATAAAGTTAATCACAGTCTTCTTAACTTCTCTTCATCAGGCCTACATTATGCACTTATTTCTTGGGCATGAGCATTACATTTGGATCTGCATAATTTAAAATGTGGGCTATTTGTAGGCCAGTTTTCTGAGTCATACTAAAAAGGACTGTTGCATAATTCATATAGATGTCACAGAAAACTATCTGGAGTATTTATTCAAAAGGCATCCGGTGTGCTTTGTAGGCACCATTTTCCTCTCATTTCTTTGGATAGTTATTGTTAACATCACAAATTTGAAAACAAATGCTATAAAAGGAATAACTAGGTCAAGCTCTTTGGTGTTTTAAAATATTTAACATATGAATGCATCTTAAATATCTAAAAACAATCAGACGTGTCAGACAATGACAATGGGTCACAACCCTAAAACGGGCCACGGGTCTATTCTGATCATGGACAGAAGGGAAAAGATAATGCTAAATGCAAATATTAAACTGCAACTAACGATATAAATGTGCACAATGAACAGGCTTCATCAATCAATCAACTTTTTTTAAAAGGGAGGAAAAAGGCTCCCCATATCAGTTTTGTAGCTCAGTCATTCTTGAGAAGTGGGACAAAACAGGGTGCAAAATTGAAAAAATTAAACCTTGTACTCAGACAAAAGAAACTAAATTTATGTATCTTATATGTACTAAGCTACTGAGCTATGCTTCGATACAACCTCCCAACTTTTCTCTTTTTTAACAAAATGTGCTTTTTTTTTTTACCTTGGACTGTGTAATATAATTTCAACTTTATCTTTAACAGTATTCAAGATGTTTTTAACATTTCAAAACACATTCTCGTGTTAGCAGACAGATTACACTTTCACATGTGACCAACAATTCCACAACAAATATAAAATATCAATGAAATATTATCAAAATATTCAACTGACGGAGGTGACAGAACTGACGGAGTTGACGAAAAACTGAATTTGTCTCATACATTGATTCAGTCAATTACTGTATTAAAACAAACACAACAAACAGCGAGTATGTTATTGTTTATAAAGCTTTTATTCAAGAGTCACATTTAAGTATTTTGATATATCATTGGAACACAAAATCTTATGGTGGTGACATCTGACGGTGTTGACAAATTTGGCATCTCTTTCACAAAACCAATGGAGTTCATGAAGTAGCCATTTCTTTTTTTTGTTGTTGATGCTAGATGCTAATGGAACCTGCTTCAGGAGAATAAAATCAGGAACATAAGCATACGCATAAACACATGGGGGATACAAAAAAATTAAAAGGTAACCAAATATACAATTATTTTACAATCATAAAAGTTACAACTTATTTATGAATGTTTTTTATAAGACTGGATGTTTTTAAGGCTTTTTTATTAGAGGAGATTTTTTGAAGTGATGAGTAAATCAGAAGTGAATATTTTACAATTCGGTTTAAAATGAAGGCATCTTGCTTTGCGAATGTGGAATTTTCCCATCATGCAAATAAAGCCCAGGGCATCCTGTTTTAATTTTTTTAAAGCTAATAGCAGTTACCCTTGCTGGACCCGTTTTGTCCCACGTCTGTGTCCAATCAAGTTTTATAGAACAAAACATTTGAACATTTCCATCTGCCAACAAACACTTGTTTTGTGGTATACTCTAATCATCAAAAAACATGAAAATTCTATAAACATACAATAAAAATAGAAATATTAAGCTATAAAATAAAAAGCAGACTACATTAAAGTGCAGCATAAACACATTTTTACCATTCATAATTTTCTAATCAAAAATAACATGTCAAGCCTATGACATTAAGAATATTTTTTGTTTCATTTTGTGCCACTTGATTTACAATGTAAAAATCTGACTCTTGAAGTAAAACTAAATAAGCATCTAGTGTGCACACTGATTCAAATCGCTTCTACCCAAACTAACCGAGCAAACTTGGGCCAAGTACTGATCAACTGGCTTTAGATACCTGCTTTTTGAGCAAATAAGAGCAATTACACTCAATATCTGCCTTAGATAATAATGTTTACGTCACGCAAAACAAACGCTAAAGAATCGACAGGACTCTTTTGTGGGCGACCAAGAAGAAGCACTAGCAGAGGATGTGCCTATCCATGCACTTGAATAGACCGCTAAGAATGCGGGAATATGGAGCATGTCCACTGCATGCAAATAGATCTGTGGCGAGCTCGGCTTGCACTCATACGGTAACAATTCATGCAAGCAGAAGAATACCATATGACAGGCGTTTGAATTTATAAACGACTCCGGCGAATGCACGGGCCTAAGAAGCTATTACGAAATAACTAAACTCCCACATCTCCAATCTGTCCCCACAAGACACGTTAAACGCGTTAAAACCCGGCCGAATTGTGGCTTCTGTGCACAAATGCTGATAACGCGAATGTTTCATAATGAATTAGCGCGAGTCTGGATGTGGATAACAAGGACAGATGTAGCAATCACGGCACAGGTGATAGCAAAATTGCGCAAATGCCCCGCTCCTCGGCATATTTACTTATTCAAAATCAATCCTGCAAGCCTGAAATGATCACACTGCTGGTGTGATGGGTGGTGGGTGTCGAAAGCAGCAGCCCACACGTTGCCTGGTCACTATCACCAGGCCATGTCTGAAAACTTTACAGACTGTCTCCTAAATGCATGCATGGACAAAATAACACGTTTAATCGTGGTTACTCACCTTCAATGGCTCTGGTGGGATCTACAATCTCTATTGCACAAACTAATCCCAGGTAAAGCAATCCAACAGCCAGCATGTTTGCGTTGCAAGATGGCATTGCCTATGGAAATATCACAATTGTTCACGTAAGGCTGGATTCAAACTCTTCATCCAAACCTCACGATTGTCCGCCGTGGTCTGTTGTTTCTTGCGCCCTCCGACACGCTAGCAAACGTAGCTGAGCAGACAATATGCACAGCAGAGAATGTCATTAAAATCTATGCATAAAAAGGCGAGGTGTTGTACAATGGCACGGTCATGTAACGTTATGTTGCTTACTGAATAACAGCATGCAAACAGAGGTATGTGGTGTCTTTTTTTTTTTTTTTTTTTTAAGAATCCTTCAAATCAAAGCGGTCTTCTCTGTGATACAATTATTCCTTTTTGCAAAATCAGGATGATACAAACGCAAGATCGTCCGTTGGCGTGCCTCGCTGCAAAAATAAAAATAAAAAAGGCTCCTCTCTTCTGTGCCCCACCGCTTCTGATGCTGGTGGCTACAATTTGAGTGAGGGGGGGGGGAAGTGGAGCCTCTACTGGACTGCTGCATGACGTCATCCACCATGGCAGGAGTCCAAAAAAACTGAAAGCCCTACGCGGCACTGGGCTCCTGCGCATGCGCGGCTCAGCTTACGGCTGACCATTTGTTTTCCCCCTCAGTCGGTGGAAACTGATCCGGCCACGCAGCCATCTTGGCTCTATAATTATGACTCAAAGTAGGCCTAATTAATTAGTATTAGTTGACTAGCTTTATGAGGAATTGCTTTTGGCTAGATAGCTGTTGCTACTAAATAATGAAGTTTTAAAATTCAGGTCTTGTGCAGGCTTATTACTTTATATTGTACATTTTGCTTCTAATATGATAACATTACGAATGAATAATAACAAAAAACGACTTAAATAATAATAATGCAAAATATGTAATTATTATTATTATTATTATTATTATTGGTCATGGACAGTTCTGAAGGAAGTTTAGGTGGCTAGGATTCCCCTGTTGCTGTTTTGCTTTATTTACATTTAAAATTGTAAAATTATTAAAGCACACTAAATTGAAATGTAATAAATTGAAATGTATTCATTAATACAAAGAGTAGCTGTGTAATAATTAGGGTTAGCTATTAGCTATTGGGTTAGCGTTTCTTCCTTTGTTCATGTTTAGGTATGAGTTCTTTTGTCTCTTATCTTAAAGTGACATATGGGTCCATCTAGTGGGCAATAAAGGTTATTGCATGAGCGGAGTTGGTTCTCATTTTCTTGGTCGTTATACCATAGATAAAGTAAAAACTTAATGGTTGAAAAAAATTCTCATTCTAAGAAAATTAGCATTTGTAAAATCAGTAGCACTAATAAGTGGGGAGTTTCTTTTTGTGCCTTCTTGCTGTCTTAAATCCACATGTCTTTTATGCTGGAGGAAGTTTATTGTCACAGTCCAAGGAACAGATAAACACATCTCTAGACAGTGTGGAATTATCTGAAGCTTGGAAAATCCACCCCACTAACAGCAGGAAAGTGTCATGAACTTTTGTTCTAAACAATCCTGAGAGACAGCTCAGATTTTACATCTCTGAATGTACCATTTTATATATATTGTATTCTTTTATGCATTTGCACTTGGAGCACCAACCACGAAGAGAGTGATTAAAAAGAGATCATTTCTTCATGGTAGACGCCCGTGATGGAACATCTAACTAGTGGAAACTGCAACATCTGCTAAGCCTATGGTTTTGATAACCAGGTGTCTTACCTGATATGGACAGAGAGGAAACAGAGAGACCTCGTGGATGAGTCCATGCGCGGATTGAGCCTAACTGAGATATTTTATAATGCCACAACACAATCACATTTAGTCTTATTAAAGGCTCATTTAATTATTTATTTTTTAATGTTATTATCTAAATTAATTATTCCTTTACAGTTTCAGAAATTGTCTGGGCTCTACAAAATTTCAACATTACTAAAGCATTCAGGCACTTATAGATAGGTAATAAATAAATTACTTAATTAGCCTAATTAAAATGACTTAATTAAAAGTAAATAAATATTTTTTTCAAAACAATGCAATCATTTAAGACAATTAATTAAATATATATCATTTAAAAATAATTATTAAATAATTTCAATGTAATAATAATTATAATAAAATTTAAATATATATTTTTGAAAGCATTTTTCCCTCAAACTTTTCCCATGCTCCTCACAACAAATGTTGTTATTGTTAACCAAAACTGAATCTATTACAAATAGTTTTCATTAATTAAAATGATATGCTGAAAAAGGAAAAAATAAATATAAAAAAAAACTCTTTACAAACTCATTAATGGAAATTAAAATAATTATATTAGTAATTAACTGGAATAGAAGAAGTTTAAGTTAAAGTAGGTCAACTAAATAAAATGGAACTACATATAAATCAATAAAAATATGACCAATACACAAACAAAATGTTACAACTTAATTTAAATTTAGGTTAAAAACTGAAATTATAAAAATTCAAAATAATAATAAATACTATAAAATAATATATAATATAAATGTACAAATACTACTACAATAAGACTGCTCCCGACAGCCCAAAACAAGTTAATACATGAAATACCTAATTTAGTCAATCAAAGAATGGGTGTCCTCTGGGTGGCACTAGACACCTGTCTATTTGCACTTTTTTCTCCAGCCAGTGCACATTTTCTCATTTCAGGGTTTTTGTCCTCCACCCTCTCTAATAAATCCCACAGTTATATAGTGACCAAGATACCACACAGTTCTTGGAGATTTTACAGCTCCCACCCAAGCCTAATATAAGTGCAGTGATTCATAGACTTCTCTTTAAAGAAGGACCGTTGAAATGATCTAATAGATCAAACGATGTCACGTAACACATACGAGTCAGTGTTTAATGAACGTACTTAATCACTGCTAAATTCGCCATGTTTATTTTTTTTTTTTGTTTATTTGGTGCACGGTGTACTTTAATTTCGTTCTTTTAAATGACCGTTTTTAATCTTGGTAAATAACTTTGGTGTCTTTTTAACATTGGTGAAGCCAAACCCTTTAAAAATCCTACTGAAGGAAAATAAATTCTTCATCTGAATGACATCTGCAATCCATAGAGAGGTCAAAACAAGAGACTCAGTCTGTGATGTGGGGACATTCATTCCTGTGGAGTCTTTTGGGAAGATGTGCAACCGGCAGATGTTGTGGAAGGAGAACAGCATTCCGGCTATGTGGAGCATCTGGGAGTAGTGTAGCAGGGATGTCTGGCCGTCCACGTGCCTCAACATGTATCTAACCTCATTTCCCATGCCTCACTGGGAGAAAGGCTTGGGGGTGGTGATAAAGCTCATTGTACATTAGGGTATAAATCCAGCAAGCTCTTCCTCTGACACAGCATGACAACCATGCATGCTTAATGACCTCCTCCCCCTAGGCATCTGTGAAAATCTGTGCATTCAACTGTCTCTGAAACGCACCCAGTGCAAGATTTGGCCACCAATTTTGGGTAAAGCAAGTGCTTTTTTTCCAGTTTCAAGTGAGCCATTAGATTTGTCATCTTGAGCCACTATATGAATCTGTGAGTTATTATGCCATCCTGCATCAAAACATCTGGTCCCATCCAGGAGTTTCATTAAACGGAAATAGTTCACACACAAAAATAAGGCTGAACCCTAACTCAATTTTCTCACTCACACACACACACACAAGATTTCAAAAGAATAGTTCACTCAGAAATAAAAATTTGCTGAAAATGTACTCACCCTCCGACCATCCAAGATGTGAAACACCTTAATGATGGATTTTTTTCTTACAAACATGCAGCTTTTTACAAGATTGAAGGACTGGAGTCTTTTGGATGTTTTTATCAGTTGTTTGAACAATTATTCTGACGGCACCCATTCACTGCAGAGGGTTCATTGGTGAGCAAGTGATGTAATGCTACATTTCCCCAAATCTGTTCTGATGAAGAAACAAACTCATCTACATCTTGAATGGCCTGAGGATGAGTACATTTTCAGCTAATTCAAATTTTGGGGCGAATGATTCCTTTATGCAGGATGTTCACTATGCATCCATATAATGAATGTGAATGGTAACCAGGGGCTGCCAAGCAACAAAAGTGACAAAAATCCAAAGAAAAATCCCCAAAATACCATAATACATCTTCATATTCTTGTCAAGTCAAATAATAGACTTAGCAAGGAACAGAACGAAATTAAAGTCATTATTCACAGAAAACCTTTCTCTCCATTGTCTGAAATCTTATTTGTGCAATTTGAATATGCACATATTAAAATGTGGCATATTGTGGTCAAGTCACAGTACAACCAATCAAATAAAACTCTCATTCTCTCATTCTCATTCATCATCACTTGATGCTAAACACATTGTGATGTGACGTATTTAAATGTAATATGCATTTGTGAATGAGATTTAAGAATAAAATGCAACAATCGAGAAGATAATCTTGAATAAATTTGACTGTTCTGCATAAAAATGTCAAACCTAAATGTAAGATTGTAAAATACAGCACATGACAAATTTTATTGTGCTTTTTTTCCATTTTGGTACTTCACAAACCATAGTCACCATCCAATTTCATAGAACGGAAAAGAGCAGCATGAACATTCTGCTAAACTTCTCCCTTTGCGTTCCACAGAATAAAGTAAATCAAAGGGTTTTTTGTTTGAGTAAATGATGGCAGAATTGGCATTTTTCCACAAACTATGCCTTTAAAGTCACACTGAAACAGAAGTAGCAACAGATCTTTCCATATTGTGACGTACATCGGAGAGTAACAGATTATTGAAAAAGAAAAAAATGTAGGGCGGGGACTTGGTTCAATCCTTCAGTTGTTGATTGGATTATAAAATGTGGAGCGGGGTTTAAGTGGACTAAATGATTTGATTGGAGAAGTCCTGCATATGTCACCAGAGAGAAGATCCAGTTATGATATATTGCATAAAACTTACAACCTCAAGAAAACAGACACGGTTGAATCGTTCACAGTAAGATGTATAATATACATTTAGAAAATAAGGTTAATTTTCATTTCATGCCAACTTTAACTAAATTAAGTTTTTACTTAAAATATATTTGCTTTATTTTGGTGAATGGATGCACCTCACGTTCAACAATTGACACGAAGATTGATGTCGCAGTTAGCAGAAGGGCTCCTGAGCAGCAGCGGGGGAAAGAGATCTGTGTGTGTGTGTGTGTGTGTGGTGTCCTGTGAGGCCTAACATGTTGTGTGGGGGTTGATTTGAGACAGTGCCAGCATAAACAGTCCCAGACCACATGTTCTCTCAGGGCAAAGCGCCTGGCCACTCTCCAAGCACATCTGCACACAATCCCCCACCTTCACCATCCACAGCGCTGGAGACTGAGCTGGTTACAATGGGGGGGAGGGAGAGGAATGGACTGCGTTCCCATACTCCACCAACCTGCTGCAGACAGGCGGGAGTACGAGAGACGGAATTACAAAAGGTCCATGCAATGATTTATTGAACTGAATCACTCCCTGATGATTTGGTTCTCGTGCTATTTTGTGTACATGCATCTAGTTTGCGTTATATATCTATACGAAATGAGTTTCTAGCTAGGAAATGGAGCTGAATACGTGACGGCTCAGTAATAGCTCACATTGCATTGCTGTATTGAGCTTTGCTTCTGTTACCTTTGAGCATCACTATAATGTGTGAGAGTGCTATGAATAATTGGCAGCAATTGAGACTTTTCTCTAGTGTGCGTTTGTGTTTGTGTATGCGTGTGAACATTGGGTAAATTACATCACACATTTTGGACTGTGGGATGTCTGCTAGGCCAACATTACTCCTCTGGCCCTCAGCCTTGAGCGAAGATGGATAGTTGCATAAATAAGACCTGTGAAGCTCCCAGCCCTGCACTGCAGATGTCACCGAACTCAGAATGTGATCGCATTTGCCAATGGTGACACTGGAAAGATATCGTTGCTGTGTCCTGTTTGTGTCAAACAAAATCTTTGCAGCAACAACATATGGAAATCCTTACAACAAAAGCTGAACGTGTGCAACCTAGAGGTAACAATGCATGGTCTTTCTGTCCAAAAAAAGGTATTTCCTTCAAAGGAAGACGTCCTAAATAGCAGATAGGGAAGTGAGCCAGGCTTCCACGGGGTGATAATTACCGCAAGGGCCATGCTGACAACACCTGAAGAATTCAAGGTATGTGCAAACAGCAAAGATATTCCAAACCCCCATCAAGACTTCATTCTCCAGGTCCCTCTGAAAGACAGTCGGTGTCTAAGCAAGATTTCATACTTATTTGCTCTAGGCATGTGAAAAAAAAGCTGGTGAAATGTATTAGGCCTGCATCATTTATGATGCAGTTGTCAATTTTATTTTAAATACGTGGAATGTTTATATATGTACAGACATTGTATATGTGCGTTTTACTACTTTTGCTTATATAGTCACCCAGAAAAAAATATGTATAATAATGGAAAGAGACAGAAGAGATAAATTAGATAAACATTTCGTTGAATACAATATATTATAATTATTTGTATAAATATTAGTAAGAAGTCTATTATTAAAATTATTTTTAAAATATTATAATATACATTGTTTAAAATTAGGCGGTCACTACAAGTTTTTTTAAAAAACACTTTTGTTCAGCATGGATGCAAAAAAATTGATCAAAACTGCCAGTAACACATTTATAATGTTACAAAAGTTCTATTTAACTTAATGCTGCTCTTTCAAATTTTCTATTCAACAAGTAATCCTAAAAACAGTATCACAATTTCCACAAAAGTATTTTGAAAAGTAATTTCTGAAGGATCATGTGACACTGAAGACTGGAGTAATGGCTGCTCAAAATTCAGCTTTGCCAGGAATATATTACAATTGACATATTTTTATAAATATAAATATATATATATATATATATATATATTAACATTTATTTATAATCAATATTAATATTTTTCCACAGGGTGTTTGTAAGCATCTATCCGATGTTCGATTTGCTCTGTTGAAGGCCAAACTGTTTATCTTCTTGTGTACATATGCAAATCAATACCTCAATGACCTTCATTTGTCCAGGACAGCTTACAGGCTTGGAAATGCTTATTATTCTGTTTAAACCCAATTTTCTGATATTACTCAATCTGAAATATTATATACAAAATGAACTGCAAGACTAAACTGAACTGAACCCTTGGCAAATCATAAATCATTTGTGAATATGGATATATGCATTTCCAGTCCTGTTTTTTAATTCTCTGAGAACACCCAACAAGGATTTAATCATTAAAATGTACAGAAAGTGTAACACTGTACCAACACTGTAGGAATGTAGCATGTAGCTCTTATCTAAACATAAGCAAGCAAAATGCCAGAGACCTGTAGACAGAGCACTGGAAGCAAAAAGATTTCATCTGCAGTGGCTAAACAAAAAAATCTGAGTTTTAAACAACTACCCTCCCACATTAGCCACTCAACTGACTTCAGATAAACACAGTCGGCTGTGGCTGTGATGCTGGAGGAGATGACTTAGTGGTTTATGACTGGGTTCTGCTGTGGGCTGACTCATGATCCCAAGTGTCTTTTGGGCTTTGCTGGCAACATGGTGTTCCTTTGCTTACACTGTAATCAGAAAAATAGTTAAATAGCAGGTGTGGTTGTTCGAATTTCCCCATAAAAATGATGTTGACAGTGTTTCGGGGATTATGGGAGGCATTTCGGTGGCTGCATATTTGCAGAAAAATCATCTTTGCCATCACAGGAATAAATTACATTTTAAAATATATTCTGATAGAAAACAATTCTTTTACATCACAATATTATTCATATAATTTTGTATATGTGACCCTGGACCACAAAAGCAGTCATAAGTCACACAGGTATGTTTGTAGCAATAGCCAACAATACATTGTATGGGTTAAAATGATCGATTTTTCTTTTAGGCCAAAAATCATTAGGATATTATGTAAAGATCATGTTCCATGAAGATGTTTTGTAAATTTTCTACCGTAAATATATCAAAACTTTATTTGGACACCTTTAAAGGCGATTTTCTCAATACTTAGATGTTTTTGCAGCCTCAGATTCCAGATTTTCAAATAGTTGTATCTCGGCCAAATATTCTCCCATCCTAACAAACCATACATCAATGGAAAGCTTATTTATTCAGCTTGCAGATGATGTAAAATGAAAACCACCTTGTGACTGTGGTCTAGGGTCACATAATGCTCAATAATGTAGGCTGTCTGCTGTATTTCTGAACATACTTGTACTGTTTTTAACTAAATTAAAAGAACTCATAGCTTTCGTTTACATACAAAAATCTATTTAACAATATTTTACTTTGAAAGTACATGTATTACCTTCCTAAATACACATTTTCACTGGGAGTTTTTTTCACAAAACATCATCTTTACAGTATTTTATAGGACAATTGCATATATTGCCCCATTAAGTTTGATATAATTTTTCATTTTTGTGGTGTACTGCACCCTAGTTGTGGTGGACCAATCATTTACATTTGCTGGTGCTTTATATGTGAATTTGTGAATGTCCAGCTTGCCAGAGGTGGTGCATATACAACCAGTGAATATCATATTTAATAGTGTTTGTGCAGCTGGGAAAATTCAGCATCGATTTCCAGAAAGTTGAAGAATGGGTCTTTCGGTTGATTTCCTCCATTACGATCCTTGTTTAAAAAAGAAAAAGTTAACATGAAATCAAAACTCTTATCAGTCATAAGAGAGTATAGCTTTCAATATAATTTAGAACGGAATAGCGTGAAGTATTGCTGTTTTCTTCCTGTGTGCTAATGAACAGCAGTGTGTGTGTGTGTGTGTGTGTGTAAGCGACTCAATCTCTTCCACAGACTCCAGGCTGAGTGTCCCGGTGACGTCAGCTGACTGTTTTGGCTGTACTAGGCGCTCCGGACACAGCGCGCGCTGCTGCTGTTGCTGTAAAAATGCTGCTCTCTGTGCCGCCAAGGACAGGAATCAACACATATAACGGCTATCCCAGCAGAACCAGTAAAAAGGTAAAGCCCTCTTCGTATGCGGTGGCGTCAGCTGGCCGGGCCGGCGGAAAACGCTGATTTCTGTCGCTTATCTCTGTTGTGTGTGTAACTGCATGAGCGTGAGCTGCAGTGTCCTTGAAAGTGGAACCGTGCAAATACTGAAGTGTATCATCGCGCGATCGTGCCGGGTAATCCTCCGCTGTGGAGTGTGATCCTGAAGTCAGCGTGTAGCTATTTAAAAAGTGGGCATCTTAATGTAGATTCATCTGAGAAGTCACAGACAGTACGAACTTGCGGTCCGAAATGTTCACGGATAGCTACTTATTCATGGGGACTCGATGCTTGTGGATTCTTGGCAGTAAATCAGTAAAGAGGACTGTTATTTGGGATTCATGAGGAAAATTGCTTGATGGGGAAAAAAAGAACATTAGTTTAACCAAGTTTTACGTTGAGTCATTCGCCCCACCCCTATAAATCCCACTACTATTACTGGAAACATTTAGGTTTCGGATTGACTTTGCAGAGACAGAAAGTCAATGAATCCGACATAGGATGCCTTTGATTTACGGGCTATTTTTTTCTGAGGGACAAAGGTCCGAATGAGAGAATTAAACGCTAAATTTGCTTTTATAACATGTTAATGGCGCAGTTCATTTGTAGTAACGAACGCTTGTCCGACATAGCCTGTATGATGTTGGTTACATGCAGTGAATTATTCAGTATAAATAAACTAATATAATCATATCGTATGTTTTTTTTTTTAATGACAGGTATGGTAGCCTACTAGTGATTTTAATAATTAAGTTTCCAATAACATACATTCAGAAACGATTTTTAGTTAGAGTTTCTGTTTTTTGACAAATAAATCTTCTAGGCTAATAAAAACGTAACATGCATTACGATTATTTTAATAGACCTACTACTATACATTTTTAAAACAGATTATATATAAGTTTTTAACCTTTTTTTTTTAAGAAAAAAAAGTATTTTCCTTTCTGTTTTTAATTTAAGCTCAGAATGCTATGTATTCTGAATGCTATGTATGTAGCTAACAGCCATATCACCCTGTAGCCCAAGACTGGTCACCCACTGAAGCCAAGCAGGGTTGAGCCTGGTCAGTACCTGGATGGGAGACCTCCTCCTGGGAAAACTAGGTTGCTGCTGGAAGAGGTGCTAGTGAGGCCAGCAGGGGGTGCTCACCCTGTGGTCTGGGTTGGCCCTAGCGTCCCAGTATAGTGATGGGGACACTATACTGTCACCAAGCACCGTCCTTCGGGTTAAAGAGACGTTAAACCAAGGTCCTGACTCTCTGTGGTCATTAAAAATCCCAGGATGTCTTTCGAAAAGAGTAGAGGTGTGACCTCGGCATCCTGGCCAAATTTGCCCATTGGCCTCTGACCATCATGGCCTCCTAACAATCCCCATATCTACTGATTGGCTTCATCACTCTGTCTCCTCTCCACCAATAAGCTGGTGTGTGGTGGGCGTTCTGGCGCACTATGGCTGCTGTCGCATCATCCAGGTGGATGCTACACACTGGTGGTGGATGAGGAGATCCCCCCTCACAATGTAAAGGGCTTTGAGTGCCTAGAAAAGCCCTATATAAATGTAATGAATTATTATTATTATTATTTATCACTTAAGATGAATTGCTGTTGAGTTTGGGTATGCAAATGCACGCAAATATTAGCTACATAAAGTAAGTTACTTTACCTGTGAACATTGTTTTCCTGTTGAACCCACAGTGATACTGGTGTTATTGTGTACTACTATTTTTTGTCAATCTCTACCTGATGTGATATTAATACTGTGCAATGACATGCACTTAAAGTTGTCAACCATATATTTTTAACATCATGAATCAGGTGTGCTTTTTTGCAAGTTTATTCAAAACACTCCATCTTTATCATCTGCAATCTTCAATGCCCTTACAAAATGGTCATCATAATAAATAGACTGAAATAAAATGACAGTGCAAAGCGAAGAAAGGCTATTAACGTGTTGACCGTTTTATAAATTATTGCCTGCTAACTTATAAAATGCTAGATAAAGGGAAGCCGTTTCTGACTCTGACATTGTGTATGATGGTCTATCTACTCATTAACAGTTTCATAAGCATACACCCTAATCTGCCATATGCCTTGTGCTTTATATACAGTGGGGGAAAAAAGTAGTGATCTGATCCAGCTTGGCTCTCTAAATGTTATTTCAGCTTCACGCCCATGCTCACGAAATAATCCAGAAACAACGCAAAGATTCAAGCAGACCGGGTTGCTGATTTCATCTTAACTTTCAGTTTATGAAGAAACAAGAGAAGCCAACGGCTATTGAGATTCACAGTTACATGTTTAACCACATTCATTGACCTCATTTTCCTTTTGTTATTAGAGCTAACCAATGACTCGATTTTTACAAAACCAACACTTTACTTATAAGTGCTGCTCTAGAAAACATAGCAGAGCTTCCACCAGCCCAGCCGCTGAGCAGGCAGGTGTCCGAGCCCATGGTGCATCTTTTCGCAATAACTCGCACAGCGGGGCGAGTGCTGGGGGAGGAAGTGTAGGTAGTAGTGTGTAAGGAAGTAAGCTGCGTTGGGCAGGTGGGCATCATGTCCCTCGGTCATAAAGAGGACATGTTTGTCATTACTGAAAGGTTGTATATTGCCATGGAATGGAGATATTATGCCATGCATCACCCCAGGGATGGCAGTGAAGATGGTGTTTTTGGAAGCAGTTTTGGGCAGAATTGAATTCAGGGCATCTGTTTATAATGAAAAAATAACCTGGTGATGTCAGGTTGCACTTCACCTGCTGGAACGGACTGGATGAAAAAGTGTTCAGTGGGTTTGAGTAGGGGCTACTGGCCAAAAGCCTAGAGGTGGTTGAGTATGGATGGCTGTTGTTGCTGCCAATGGAAGCCCAAAAGAGCAATGACAAGTCCAGTTTGGACAACAACGTCAGGTTTCACTTGAAATATGATGGACGAGTCTTGGCTGTAGTGTTTTGTGAAGCTGAGGAAGCACTTTATATCGATCTTTAGTTGCTGTAGCTATGTAAAAATGCAGAGGGAGAATGTCGGTGTGGGTACAACTACCAAACAGTATTTCTGCAGTGACTCTCAATGAGTGTGGGCCAGGAGGAAGATGAACCAACTAGTTGTGAGGCTAAAGGTCTGTTTATACCAAGAACGGAATGAAAAGGCTAACCAAAAACACTCTTTTCCATGTATTGGAAATACTGCTAAAACTATGATTTTATTCTTGTAATTTAGAATTTTTTCCTCATTTTGGGTCATGAACGTGATTGCACTTTAACAAGTGTTGACACTCCACTGTTTTGTGGAGTGTTTGCATGCAGAATTTCTATTATGAATATTATATTATTATTATGTTGGCAGTTGCGCAGACCTGAAATAAAAGCATTCTTTGGTTTATTTTGTTATGTCAGTTTCTCTGCCTCTGAGGGTATTTACCTTTACATGTATTCATTTGGCAGACACCTTCATCCAAAGTGTACATTTTTATCATGCTCAGCTTGCTGGAAAGTGCCATGCTGTACTGTTTGAGCTTTAGGAAAGCACACACTTCCTGTGTTTAAAATGACAATGTTTTTTGTTTTTTAATTGTTGTAATGTTTGAGAAGCATTAATGTTTTTAAGGCTTGTTGCTTTAACCATTTTTTAAATATATAGGGTGATTTTAATTTGAATCAATCTAAACTCAGGATCAATCTGACCCCGACCATAATGATTTTGAACCCTAAATGCAAGATAATAATTCTAGCAATGCAACTTCTCATGCTTTGATGTAAGATACGTATCTGATCATACAATTTTGTTTGTTCTTGGTGTGAATAAGCTCTGCAGAAAATATAATTTGAAAAACTGTTTCCACAGCCTACGAGTTATCAGGGGACATAAATTTTTCCAGAATTTCTGTATTGTGAGAGTGTGCAGCCACTGGTCTCTAATTTCCTCCTTAAGTGCCCCAAACTTAGATAGGCTTCCTAAGCCCTGCAGGTCTGCTAAGCACTGCTGCACTGACTCACCCAACTGCTGTCAGCTCTGGCGGAATAAAATCCACTGGAGAATGACACTCTGTAGGGCGGAAAAATGTTGCAAATCACTTTACACAGTATGAATATTTGAAGCTCATTAGAGTCTTCCAAATATTCTGTGACCTTTCAGGTAATGAAACCTTTTTATGCGAATCACTGTTTTGAATGTAAAGTTGAGAGCTTTAAGATGCACAGTATAGAAAGGAACAATGAGAGCCAGCTGTGGAAACGAAAAGAGATTCTTATGCTTCAAAAACATCAAACCCAATATATGCCAGTTGCAAAATATTAACAAAGCTCAACTTTTTTTTTTGGCCACCAGTTTAGATTTTTTTTTTTTTTTTTGTCATTTTAAACATATTCACTTGTCCAAACACAAAATAGAACTAATATTTCTTTCTAAATATTTAAATATATAAAAAATATATTATTAAAATATTTATAAAATTATACTCATAAATTAAAAATACATTCTTGAAATATTAATATAATTAATATTAATATAGCCTATACTTACAGTTTAAGTTTCAACACTGGAAAATGAAATTATATGATGCAAAACTATATTCAAGGATAGTTTAATGTACTAATAAAAAACACTAAACTGCAAACTTTGACTTGTAACATTTGTAAAGTTGTAAACTGTAACATTGTAAAGTTTTCTTCAGATTATGTGATTCTACCAAACTATTTGAATCACTCAGTAACGCATGCTGAAGATTCCTTGGGACAGAGTCTGTTTCTGTTGGTACCGCTACAGAAATGTGTGTTCACACACGCACTTGCTTCGAAATTCTCCTTCACGGGATGGATCACTGCTGAAAGACACAGTTTTGAAAACCAAGCAGCCTAGAAGAAGAGTCTTTCCCCTCCTTCCTGCACTCTTGGCAGGGATGCAGATTGCTCAGAGATAAATGACTTGGAATTCCTGGAATTCCTGTCTCAAACATTGTGCGTGGATCCTGG